CCGTTTGCGTTTGTATTTGTCCATTCATATATGTGAATTAACCTTCTATGCACCCTTTCTTTTATTTTTTTGTAATCTCTTCCGTCTGATTTAACACCTAGACTTCCGAATGTTGTGGTTTTGTAGGCTGAATTATCTATAGCATATCTGCGCGTGAGTATTTCTTGAAGTATTATGTGTGTCTTATACCTATTGACTGGTAATTGACTGATGGAGATGTCTATAGAGATGTGATTTCTCTCGTGATTTCCTCGTGTGATTTTTTCGAAGTGACCGTGGGAAACTGTTTTCTTAAGTCTTCATTTATTGTATGTGGTCTGGATGTGTAGTGTTACTATCCTATCTTTTAATGCAAGCTCGTTCTTGTGTGTTATTTAGCTCGTTAGATCTCTATGACATTATGGATCATTCCTGATTTGGTGTTAAATGTTCTTGCAGGTGGTTTGCCTTGCCCATTTATCCTTCACCTCTTGTCATATGTCATTGTATTGAACCTTAGATTACCTCAGTTTCGTCGTGTTATTCTACGACCTGAAGTGTCCTTAGAGGGTTCTCGATTTTTAGATCTAACCTCAATGTCTATTAGATTTCCATATTGCTAGTGTGGATTACTCGCTTACCCTTTGTGATGGATTTTGTATGTCTTGTCTGTTAGCCAGACCTCGTGTTGTAACTAGCTCTTATCTATACACTTTGTGTGAACTAGTTTGATAGTTGTATGTACAATTTTCCCTCTTAAATCAATTGACTTAAGTAATCCGAAGTAACAACCCATTAACCTCCATTCAGCACATTACTGTGTGTGTAATGGGAGACTTGTAACTTTGTTATTGAGTACTATGAGCTTAAGTCCTGTACTCACTATTCTATCTATTGTGTGTAAGTGATTTCAATGTTATTTCTCTGCTTAATTTGGTTATTTTTATTTGTAACCTGCTGTGTGTGTGACTTTGTCTGTAACGTGTGCGTGCTGTGCAGGGGTCCCTGATTTTCGCCATATTTTCTTGTCCGAAAAACATATAAAAAATCGCCAACATTGATGAATTAATCAATGTGACACTTATTCTGTTTTCCACGCACCTTACTTCACAATCGAACCTGTCACACCTTGTAACGTGTTCAGCAAACTTCTGAACACGTTCTCTTTACCTGGATTGTTGATCCGAGGCTCTTCCTTTTCTTTCAACTGTGGCCCTTGTTCTTCTTCAGGTCTTTTTGTCTTCGCTCTTCTCACCATAAAGTTTGCGTTGCTATTAGGTGGTTCTTTTTGTGACAGGAAGTATTCTATTCGACTTTCAACACTTGGTCAGTGTATGAAGATCCTTGTTCTTATTCTAAGTGAGGATATTGTAAAAAATGTAGAGTATAGAGAGTAGCTGCAAGGTACAAGACAATAGGATACAATATACCACTTCTCAAGTACGGTTATCTCAGCTAGGAAAAGTCCCTAATCTAAGAGAACCGACCTGAGTCTTTATTTGTGTTTTCACTAGACTCAGATTTACTTGAGTGTTTCTCTCACACGCGAAAGTCCCGGATAGCTTACCGGTTCTACCGCTAATATTTGTGATGACTCTAATATCAGAAATATTCCAATCTTAATTCCAAAACTCAGTATTTTATTATTCCGGGTTTTGAGATTTGTATTGGCTTTTTTTTTTTAAATCTGGTCCCTAGATGCTACAAGTTGGCGGACGTGCGGCACATGTACGAAATAAGGTAGGAGAGAGCGGAGCCGGAACGCAGGATAAAGCACCGCGAATTTATTCGGGGATACGATATAGGATGTTCCCAAAAAAGAGCTAACGAGGACCTTCAAAAGCCGCTTCAGGACGCACATGAGTGGTCCGAACAGCAGTTGGCAGCAAGTGGATGAGCGCACGACGGACATGCAACAACTGCTTTCCAAGGTACGATTGACCATCGATGGGGCTTTGGTCGAGGAGTACATGTCTCGTCGAGAAGTGGCCGACGACGAAGAGTTACGGGAATGAGCTAACGAGGACCTTCAAAAGCCGCTTCAGGACGCACATGAGTTGTCCGAACAGCAGTTGGCGGACGTGCGGCACATGTACGAAATAAGGGAGGAGAGAGCGGAGCCAGAACGCAGGATAAAGGACCGCGAATTTATTCGGGGATACGATATGGGACGTTCCAAAAAGTTGATAAAGCCAGGCGTAAACGAAAGGCACCACGGTCGTTACAGGATGTCTTGGATGACCTTGCGACAGTCGATACGGTTACAAATGGGATCCAGATAATTCCTTAGGTGGCTTTGAAGACTATATGGTCGTTGCATTATTCTCACATACGCGCAAGGGCACCGCGCTTGAGGGGTCTCATCCAAGAGAAGTTGTTACATTCTTTTGGGAATCGACCAAATGTCTCGGTTAGCAAGGGGTAAGCCGAGACGAAGATATGAGCAGACTTTCCAGGAAGTATAGCGGGTTGTAGAGCAACAGATCGCGCTATGGGGCTGGCTTCGCCATATCATTGTTGACGAGGATAGCCTGTTACTGGCGATATAATATACGGACTGGTGTGAGAGTTGAAATATCTGAGTACATCCAGTTCAGAAGGGGTGTCATAAGACCAACGGATTAGTGAAAATCTGTGCCTCGGAACTGCAACCGATGGCTGTCGTGGTATTTGTTGGGAATTTGCGAGAGTGGATGCGGTGGCTGCTATAATCTTCACTTATATGCCACGCGGTCTTCTACGGCGGAAATGGCGCCGCATACTCAAGACAAAAGCCAGATAATTTTCACATCATGCGAATACGTAGAGACTCTGCGTGAGGACCTTGGGGATTGGCGACGCTAAAGTTATTGAAACCTGAGCCAATGAGTCTAAATAAGAATGCGTGGGAGATGGACGACAAGGCACATCTGGCGCAGGAACGAGCAGCCAACCGCCGGCAGGTAGACGTGTCGATTCTTAGTGTACAACGGGAACTGTTTCGCCCAGTGAGGGTTCCACATATATCTCAACCAGAGTGTATGGGCCCCGAAGATATGAAGGCGTTGGATCCGCCATGTGCTGAAAAAGTGCGCTACAGACAAGCTATATAGTGTGCATGTAGCAGATATGGGGGCGTACAGGGTGCCCTTGGGTGAACCAGAGCGCGGCAAGGCCAAGGGGAGCTTGAACTAACGGAGTACACCAATTGACTCTTTTTAAGGACGCACGAGGCGAGGAAAAAGACGGAGTGGTGGCTGCTTTGACAACACGTCCGAATGCAGCTATTTAGCAGAGAGGGGATCAACACTCGCTACCCACAAGTACCACAATGACTATATCAATGCCTTTGAACAGCGAGACGTCGACTTGACGGCGCAGCATGTGGGTGATAGATTTGTCGTTAGTTGAGGAGAGCAATCAACCCGGGGTACAGCTTTGGTTTCGACAAAGACTATAGAAAGGACAAGCTGAGAGTGTGGGCAGCTAGACAGCAGGAGCGTGTACGCCGAAGGCAGGTGATGTTTAGTGAGCGACTAGTTGCACCAATACAGGACTGGGTAGCTGTTGCTATAACTCAGCACCACACATGTATGACAGTATGGATAAAAAGTTATAAAGAAACATCATATTATAAGTTGCGCGGTATGACTGACTACATTCTTTAACTATCGAGTTCGGTGCATGAACTAATTACCACGAGGACCTGGAAGGAATCAGCTGTCAGACTGATATAGAGGAGAGGGGACAACAATCCCACGTCAGACGAGAGAGAGACTGATAGGGGAATGCACCTCAAGTGAGCTGCATAGTGTGAATTTGTAAAGTAGAGTATAAGAGAGATATAGGAGAGATACGTTGTAGGCAGGGTAGTGACACTATGCGGAGTAAGTAGTACTGTGTCGACGGTACCAACACTATGCAGAATGAAGGGGCACTGTGCCGAGGGTAGAGAGCCGATAGGTTAAGTAGGACATATATATACATATATATGCAAAGGAACACATAGTAGTACATTAGAGTGGACAACTAAAGGGTTCGGATGCACGACTGATATATCGATCGAAAATATGCATCTAGTGTGTGTTGCCTTCTACAGTATGTATTATTATTTTGTATTTGGTTTTATTTGGCTCTCCTACTTACAGCAGTATTTGCGATGATTATGGACGCATGCGAGTATGGAGGTGACATAGAGTGAGGCAAGCTTGGCACAACCAGAAGGGCTATGTATAAACGTAGTGGTTTGAGGACTGGGCCGATATCAGAGTCGGCCTATACGTAGATAATGTCCCGGATTAGAGATAGTATAACATGATTGGATATCGTGCGTAAGCCTACATATAAAACACTAGCACATCTGGCCGGAGTTAACTGAGCAGTTGCTACTCAAGAGTGGTAGAATGTTTGATGCAATTAAGGTGATACCGCTTATGATATTCTATGCTATGCTCAAAGTGGGTTACACGGTTATAAATATCGAAACTGATCTTCAGAAAGGATATCCAACTGGAATTCGACAGTGGACAAACCTGTTCAACATACAGAAATATTTCGTCCATCATTAGAAGGAAGACTTTATACAGTTATTGACAATTCGACAATCAGACATCGGAGACGCCTCTTTTTATATACATGCGTACGAACTGTTAATGGTGGCAAATCGAGTGCAGGATCACAATTGTTGATTTAAATATCGGCCAGCTAGTATAGCTCTTTTTGACGTGGTCGCACCTATTCACAGCAGATTTTATCATGCAAGGTCACGCCTTTGAAATAAATATTCCACCGAACTTAGTTATCTCCGCGATTGTGAACAATGTAGTGCCATTAACCGCGAGGACGCAACTTTTGAGAACGGCGGCGACGCTTTTGCATAGACGATAGGAGTACATTTGAGCCACATAGAGCGCGCACTCGAAAAAGGTTTACAGTGAGTCGGTACGTTTGAATGTCAGCTTTGCATTGGTCATAAATCACCGGTGCAAAACACAACCCGCCAGGCACAGTCAGCCATCATAAATAATCAGATAAGTTCTTAATCATACAGTGTTGCTAGCTTCTTCTGACACCTCCGACAAGAAAGTGCTAGAGCCAGACGAAACTGAGGTATCTAAACGCTGGAGAAGATACAATACCTCGACCTCTTTCGTCATCGGTATTATATGCTGCACGTGTGGGAGGAACGAGCGAAATTAGTCTTATGTAGAGACTTACCATTTGTGAATTACGCCACTGTGACATGCAACAAGCTCTCGAAAGATTACAACTTTTCTATCAGAACGAGCAACTTAACGAATAATGAATGACATTTACAATGATGACCACAAGGAAAGACAAAGACAAGCTCTCAGCTCCGAACTCTTTTACTCACATTCTCATATATACGCGCCACTAGATCCGGTAATTGTTTCAGGGTTGTGTCATCTCCCATTTGTTCTGCCACATCATGTCCGTATGATTGGGCTTTTTCATATACCCGCGCGAGCAATTTCTTCTCCACTGCCGAATTGGTCAGAAGTTCCATGATACCATCCTGATATACAAAAATGGGCACGTGTAAGAATTAATCCGGGATACCATGTGCTTTCGAATTTCGCAAATTTTAACCTTTCACTGGCAGCCATGTATTGATTGAAACCACATGCATGCATAGACTGCAACTCGCACAAAAACATTGTTATGAATTTCCGACGTCTCTCGGCAGGAAAGCTATATCGAATATGTGAACTTTCGACTTACCTCATCTTTGGCCTTAATCAGTTGGACATATTTGTCATGTAGATTTGGATCGCAAAATTTAGCCTGCTCGCGATGCATCACGTAGTGATATGTGAGTGGATAAAGAAAATATCGGTGACCTGGTGAGCATATTGACATAAAAATGCAGATATGGTTAGCCAAAGCACTTACAGGGAGGCAGAGCACAAACTTGCGAGGCATCATTCTAGTACAATCGATTCGTTGGAGCACACACGCGACTGCTGAGATACACAGAACAAAAACAAAAAATGTACTCGCAGATAAATCGAAAAGCCCAAATTTTGTCTTCACGGATGATAAACCGACAGTAAAAATTACTCGTACCTCCGCCACGAATTTGCCGAAGTGAATTCTTTTAGAAAGTGCCTGCAGACACTGTGTGTCACACACGGCTGTCGACCCATAATTTTTGTCATCTCCTGATTGGTGCATACCAACATAGCAATTTTCGTCGCGAAATTGAAAGAGATATGATTCAATCAGCTGTGTACCTTCGATATAGTCACCATCAGCTTTGTAATTCTAACCAGTTAGATTGCAAGGTCGATCAGTACCAATCTAAAGCGGCACTCCTTTACATAACGAATACGACAGAATCGGATAGATCAGGAAGTAAAATCATGAATTCGGCCCAAACATCCGCGTCCAGATGAAACAAAAAACATAAAGTGGTACTGCAAGTGGCAAGCTCGCACAAATCAACCGTGTTCTATGATGGAATACCATCCCGATGAGATGTCATGCGATGTGAAAATACTAACCTCACAAGTATTGGAAAGTACAGTTTGAAAAACAAGAAGAAAGCATTGCCATTGTTGAATATCAAACGATTGAAAATTCGCCCACAGACTTGCTCTACATCAGTTGTAAGTTGAAAGTGGCGACTACCACACTCACCTTCTGCCACTAACGAAGGAATTAAGGCGGTCACGTACGTGTCCAAAATCTTGCGGCCCAAGTTTACGTCGATCCCGCACTGAAATTGAGTAAAGATACGAGACCAAAACGGTAGCGTTTGCACAAAGATCATCGAAGAAAGAGACGTATACGACAAAGGCAACATCGAGGTATTTTCGGAAGCCAGCGAGTTGAAAATCAATTGCACCACCATCCACTTGCAGGGAGGCCCACACTCGCGGCACAACAAAAACCGAATACAAAAATTCTTAGTCTACTATTCGTAATCTACTATAATGGCAATAAGAGCAGTTTCAAATATATTGGCAGTGTCAACTGTCAAGTTGCTCATCTTGGAATAAATGAATATAATACCTTCACCGTATCAGGAAAAGTCAGTTCCTCCATTAGTGGTTCTGGCAAATCATCAAAGAAGGGCGTTTCGTCGGGACTGCCAAAAACAATAGAATATTTCGTTCTCACACGGATTTGATGTAGCAGTATATTTTACGATTCAAGTGTGCCATCACAGAACAACCAGTAAGTTATTTCTCGAATGCTTAAATATCTTATCAAAAACATTCCTCCAATCTTTGAGCTAATTGTATGCGAAATGGCACTCCCTAGGTGCTCTAATCGACTTCTAATGTCCAAAACAACCAAATAAACAGAGTTCGACCACACCATGGTCGTATGATTTGGACGTCAGCATCGAAAAAATTCTCGGGGCCTCCTATATTGATCAATGTGAGAGGTTCAAAAATAGTATATAGTATACCTTAGAACATCTATGATCAAGAAAAGTGCAGCGGCGGCAAGCTTCCGAAGTCCCAAGTGCAATGACAAACTCATGCATCGTAACAAGGGACACGAAAATGACAAACTAAATTCTTATTGTATTGGTATTGTAGCTGAATTCAAAGTGTAGCATTTTGCTTCTAAAATTCCCGACGCAATATGAAATCTACACACCTTGTGTATCGTCGTACTTTGGAATGTAGCGACTCTGTCTCTCGCAAAAAGTAGTGCAAAAACGGCACATCACCGCCAGGGTGAGCAAGACCTCCAACTTCGTACACCGGAGAGTTTTGCAGAAATTGTGCTCGCTCAATAAGCGCTGCAAGCGCAAGTTAAACAGATCGTTATATCAACTTGAGTTGATATCCGCAAAGAGTGCTCGTAGTCTCGACGAGCTCATTTATCACATAGAAGTCGGAAACAACCTACTCTGTAGTGCATCGACACCAAAGACTTGGAAATTGGTTTATCAATGTGCTTAAGACTAACACGCAAATCTACACAAATCAGCAAGCAAGTACATAGCAATATGTAGGAGAATCGAAGTTGAAAACGCATGGCTAGTTCTCGTGCCCAAATCGTTCAGAATAAAAATACAGAGAGAAGATTTTCGAATAGAGATGCAACAAACAGGTACCATACTATTACAGCGTTGCAGTCGCAAATGGGTACTTACAAAAGATGATTGTCTCCTGTAGTTGGTAAAAAAAACCACAAACAGTAAGCAAGTGAGATCATCTGGATACGAATAGAAAATTATGCTCATACTATTCTGAAAACTAATAAAGTCGTTTCGAACTGCGAAATAGAGGGGAGAAGGACACAGATACATCTGGTGGCTTGCGATAGAAAATAAGTAGCAATGTGCAGTTCTATATAGCATCAACATGAGGTTTTATGTTTGCTGCTATAAAAATATGAGAAATAACATATGTGCTCGACATTGGTACGCAAAAGATGTATGTATATATATATATATATGACATGAATATACATGTAGGTAGTAATATCTATTACGTGTATGAGTTCATGTAGTCTATACACACACACACACACATATATATATACATAAATACATACATACACACAAACATAAATATATATATATATATAATATATAACATATACATATATATAAG